CAACAGCAACAGCAACAGCAACAGCAACAGCAACAGCAACAGCAACAGCAACAGCAAACCAAGCCCTAATTCAAGCAGTTCACCAAAGATGATGCTGATATGACAAGCAAGATTGCTTCCCAGCAGTGCCCCCACCAGCTGCTTACAGTTTGCTTTGCTTGTATCCACCCCCTGTTCCTCCAGAAGAAGCACCAGTATCTTCCAGTCTTGAATTTGTTGTCTCTAATATTTGTGTTGGACAGCAACAAGAACACCCCTAGCCCCAAGTATCCAACCCAGACCATTCCTTTGAAGAACAGTGACCGGAGTTTAAAAAAAAATCTTAATATTAAATTTAACCTCGTGAACTAGAAGAGGCACTTGGATGGCCAGAACCATAGCTTTTGTTAGAAAGAATGCTTCTAGCTGCTCCAAGGGGTGGCCCCTCCCTCGGAGGAGGTTGTTGCGGAGGCGTGACCGGGGTTTGGTTTTGGGCTGGGGGATTGTAGGAAATATTTGTTCATAGTAGTTTGCATAGGACGGTTGGTTGCGACAGAGACCAAAGAGGAAGTCTTTGGTGATGCGGAGGGTTTGTGTCGTGTCTTCTTGGAGTACGCGTCAAAGACCAGTCTGTCTTGTGTGACGCTCTCCAGTGGTTGTTTACTATGAGGCAATGGTGTAAAGTACTGGGTAATAGGGCGGGTGTTGGAGACCGAAGCACTTGTAGCTTGAGAGACACTCACCAGAATCATTTTCTTGTAGACTCGATGCTAATATGAGAGCATGGAGGTAGGTGTCTGCAATAAGAAGGCTTCCATATTTTCTGGGAATAGTTGGGCATGGGACGGACAGGTCTGAGATTTCAATGCAAATAAGGTCCAAACTTTCATCACCACTCTCCGTCGATTTTTTGCTTGCTTCTGAGGAAGCGTGTAGCGGTGAAGATCTTTATTTTGCTGTTCCCATAATGATATATAGGAGGTAAGAAAGAATTCCACAAGATAACCCCCCAACACAAGCCGGGAGTAAGAGCTGGAATGAAGATCAAGATCTGTAAACCACTTGAGCAAAAGGTGACCAGCAAACATGTGGTGTCAACCAATCTCACTCTGGAAACGAATAACTGGATGAAGGGATACAGGATATTTCTCTGGAGAAACAATGCCAGTGTCTAACCATTTGGTAAGACATGTAGCAAGAGTGTCAATGGCAATTGGTCGGAAGCCAAGTGTGGGCATGCATTGCCGTAGAGAGGTGATAGTCTGTCGTTGCCATCTGATGCGTGATGGGTGGGAACAGTGAAAGAGATGCTCAGAATCTTCAGGCGACTGGCAAAGACAACACGTATCCTGTTGTTGGTAATTCCACCATTTGAGAACAGTGGCAGTGGGAGTGGGGAGGATATCGTTGCAACATTTAGTGACCAAGATGTCCCTGTAGATACGATGGATGGCAATGCTCAGAGACTTCCAGGAAATATCAGCAAGAACTCTTCGGGGCCACTGGTTCCTATCTCTCAAATATGTGAGATATTGGGTGATTAAACAAGAATCTGTGAGAGCTCTCTTATATTGGCTGGAGACGGAGCGAGACTGGATCCGGAGAACTGCTGGGCAAGAAGGTAGCACTGGTGTGATAAAATTTGGGGTAGTCATCTGGGCTTGAAAATCTCTGGCATAACCATCAGCCTCGACATTCAGTTGAGCTGTCAGAGGGAGGCAATCAAAGGCAATGGTGTCATCATGATGGCCTTTCACCCAAGAAAAGGAGTGTGTGAGGAAAGGAATCTGAAGGGTTTGAAAAATCTGTTCAATCAAGTCAAATTCTGGTGCTAGGGTAGCATTAGCATAGACTCTGTACATTCACATGATTGGAGTCAAATGATGAGTGCCTTGCTGTCACTGACAAAAATAACACATGTAGGGCAAATAAGAGAAGCGTCAGAAGAGGATGATGAGCTGGAGGAACTTGTGTCATCTTCGCTCTTCTTGTGGTCATGGTGGTGTAGGTGCGAAACTAGCAGGGTTATAAAGAGACTTGCTGATAATAAGCCTGTAGCCTCGGCTCGAAGGGAACTTTCAATGCCAAAGCATGGGCCATTTGCATGGGCAATTCTATCCCCAGCTGTAGTGGCTAGAGACCAGCCAAAGGACATACAAACATCTTTGCCAGATCCATTGGAAACTATGAGAAGAGGGATCCCAGAAGTGAATATATCCAATGTCAGTGAAAAGTCAGATTCAAACTGCACTGACCTCAGGAGCTGGTGTTGCCATGGAACTAGGTGACATAAAAGGCCCGGCCATGTGCGGGGAACTTCATTGGGGGATTTTCTGACAGTTGGAAAAGGGCAGACACTGGTTGGATCGTATTGAAAACCATCAGTTTTGGTCGTCCAAGTGATCAAAGGGATATTGGTGCCAGGAGCGAGTTTGCCAGAAGAACAGAGACTGGAGTATGTGCTAGACACTACTACTACTCAGATTAAAGAAGATTCCCCAACCTCAGTTCCATGTCCCAGTTCTTTTCCCAACCAGAAGCAGCAGTCTTCCAGTCATGATGTTGTTCTTTCCAACATTTGTATTGGACAGCAACAACAACAATCCAAGCCATAAGT